ACTTTGGGTGATTCAATGAAATGGAAAGACTCGCGATTACGTTAACTGGCCCCCATTTCGTTTTGTGTCTTTCTTCCTATCAAACTGTCGTTCCCTTCAATTTTATATATCTCGCTCTTCTATAAAAAAAAACCCTTTTTCTTTTTCTTTGACTCTCTCTCACTTCGCTAATTTGTTCATTACATTTTTTTTTTTTTTTTTTTGAGAAGCTGCCCTTTATGCTTTTATCAACCTTGAATCTTTCACACACACGACACCAAACGATCGTTTGAGATAAATTATTTTCAATCAGAGGGACGTTGAGATTTTTTTTTTGTTGGCATGTTCTTGAAAAATTAAAGCAATTATTTTGCTAAAAATAATTTTCATTGCCGAGAAATTAAAAAAAAAAAATTCACGTATTTTTAGTGGATAAAAAGAAATTAATCTTAGTACATAAACAATTTCGAAAAAACAAGAAATAGAAATTTTATAGATTTTTCAATTTTTAAGTATTTTATTAACTTCTTTAATTATTCTTTAATTATTTTTTTATAATTTAATTTAATTATTTATAATTTTTAAAATATTTCTAAGTACATTAACTAAATACTTATAAATAAATGTGATTTCATCAGGAAAATAATTTTTTTCAGAGAAATTTTCCTAAATCCGAAAAAAATTTTTTTCTAAATTTCAAACTAAATTTTAAAACTCTTTTCGAATTTTTTACTCATCAAGAGTCGAAATACTATTTGTCTTAAATATCTAAAAAATATAATTTTTTCCAAACTAATAATAGTAAAAATAAATAAATTTAAAAAAATGTATTAAAAGTAGAAATAAAATTTAAAAAAAAAAAACTATTAAAAATCGAAATAAAGTGAAATATAAAAGTAAATATAATTATTAATATTTAATATGTGAACAAATATATTTACAAATAAAAAATTGTTTTACAATTTAAAAAAAAAATTCAATAAATGTTTTAATTTCAAAAATAATTTTCGTAAATTAAAATTTTTTACAAAAAAAAACTATATAATAAAAATATTGCAAAATAAAAAATTAAATTGCAAAAAAATTATTACTTAAATTCTACAATATTCTACAATGAAAACAGTGCAAAAATAATCAAATTATAACAAATAAAAACTATATGGAAATATTTCTAATTTTTGGTAATTCTAGATTTTAAAACTTCTATTAAAACCTAAAGAATTTATATTTTTATGACCGATTCTAAATTGAGGGAACAAACATTGAATTTGATAAAAAAAAATCTAATATGTACAGATAACTAAAATATAAAAAAAATATTTTTTTTACTAAATAAAAAGAAAATATAATTAAAATGTGAAACATTTCTTATATAAACATCTGTAAAAAATACAATGTAAATAAACTTTAAAAGTTATGAATGAAAAATATAATAATCTATATTTGAAACGACTGTTATTTATACAAAAAAATAATTCATTCATCAATTAATATTTTTCTAAAAAAAATAATAATAAAAATTTAATAAAATTAAAAATTAAAAATTAAAAATTAAAAATTAAATACAAAATACAAAATAAAATGCAAAATAAAATACAAAATATGAAACAAAATAAAATACAAAATCAAATACAAAAATATTAAGAATTTATTTTATATGTGATAAATTATTAACTAATCGTTTAGAAAAATTTTGTAAATTGAAAAAATCTTAACAGTCTCAATATTAATACTTTTGTTTAATATTAATTAATAATACATTTATTAAAATCGCAAAAGAGAGGTCATAAAAAATTGTTACTATAAGGGAAAAAAATAATTAAAGAAAATATTAAAAATCTCTAAAGAGCTTTAAAAAGATAATTTTTATCTTAAAAAATCCGTTCATTTTCAGTAATAATTTTTTTTATATTTCATTATAAAATTTTCAAAATTCAAATATAAAATTTTATTTATTATAAATTTTATCAATTCATAGAAAATTAAAAAAAAATCATATTTACAAATGAAAAAAAAAAATGAGAGCAATAAAAAAAAGGAAATTGGAATCTTGACTCACGTTCATTAAGAGCGATGGAAGATGGTGTGTTTATGAGAAAACATAAAAGCAGCTTCTAAAGTTGACGAGGGGTAAATTTTGTTTTGTAAATGTCGTGAATCAAATTGGAAAGTTCGTTAGGAGCAAGAGTCATAATAAAGTTGCGAAAATGTCCCCGCGATATAAACGCAACATGATTACAACACAAATGACAAGCACTCGGGCTAAACTTTTGCCTACCGTTGGAAACTAGTTAAAATCACACTTTCCGTTTTGCCCCCCCCCCTCTCCCTTCTCAATTCCCATTGTTGTCGAGACGGATCAAAATTAAACAATTGTTAGCCGATAAAAGCCATATTTTCTCGTATCATCAAAAAAAAAATTTTTTTTCACAAGAAAAATCCTTAAGAAATTTTGGCACCCCGAGGCTGTGATTGTGATCTATTGTCCTTAGAATTAAAAAAAAAAAATTATTTTTAATACTTTTGTTTTTCAGTCCCAAATAAAATACAACAACGAACCTGTAAACGTTGTCACGAGTCAGTTAAAAATCGATATTTGGAAATGTTTTATTTTATTTTATTTTTTTTCGAATTTAATTAGAAAAGTAATCAATCTAACGCAGTGGTATAAAATCTACTGTTTTGTTTTTTACCCAGCGAATTTAATTTCCCATCGAATTTTTATTTTTTTTTTTTTGTTGTTATTAAAAAAAGAGCTACTTTATTCGTTTTCTGATGCAAATTTAACGTAAAAATTTGTTTTTAAAGAAATGTTCACGCTTTTTCTTTTTTTTTTTGCAATGGAAACGTTATACGCAAATATATGCGTTGTTTATAATTTTATATTGCTAATGCTAATTTTGGGGGATTAACACTTTGATGCCCACTCAATTTTTTTTTTATGTACACAAACACGTAGTAAAACTACAAACATTTATAACAATGCAAATATAAAACGACAGTAAATCTTTTTTTCTCTTTTAAAAAAGAATATTGCATGAAGTCTCAAAATTAACAAATCTCCAAATTCCTCTAATTTTTTTTTTTCGCTTTCCTTTCTTTTTTTTTCCTTGTGAGACAAAAAGATTGAAGCCCGCGCGCATTCTGGAAAAAGATTCTTTTTATTTAATTTGATAATTGGCAGTGATTGAGCGTCGTTTTCGCCAAAGTTTATATATATATATTTATTGCCCATCTGTGGAGAAAAAATTAAGCCTCTTAAATGCGCCTTTTTTTCAGAATAAATTTTAAATTATCCATTCACATTTTTTTTATGGATCATTCAATTTTTTTGATGTTTTTTTTTATGTAATGTAAATTTACGCTTTTAAGTATAGGAGACTTTTTGTTCAGGATTTAGAATTAGATTTTTTTTTCCCCACCTGGAGGAAAAAAATTTGATTTGTTTGGAAATTTTTTTAAAATTTTTTTCTTCCTGATTTGTAATTTTTTTCTGTAATTGAATTTTACACATTCGAAACATGGGAATTTGTCTGAAAAAATTATTTCAATTTATCTGAAACCTGAACTAAAGGTCTTCTATAATTAAGAGATTAATTAAACATACGAAGCTGACCGACGCAATTTTACTTCGCACGAAAGAAAAATTTCGTGGAAGTTATAAACGTCACTTATGGCACATGCCTACAGAAAAAAGCGATTAATTTATGGCAAAAATGAACTTGTTTTGTTCAAAAGATCCTCTCTTGAGAATTTTTTTTTTATTTTTAAATTCCAAATATCAATTATTCAATTTTAATTAATCGAATTTTTTCACATGATTCGTTTTTTTTTCCTATTAGAAATAAGTGACTGAATTTTTAAATAAAATTAAAATTGTCACTTATCAATTATCACGAAAATTCGTAGCAGTTTTCAACGAAATTTTTGTTTTTATTTTCTGTTTGGAAATATAATTCCAATTTTTTTGGAAATCAATTTTTTGTTAAAAAAAAAGAAATTAGAAAAAACTAAAAAAAATGTCAATTTTCACAGAAAATAAAAATACCTTCTAAAGGTAAGAAATTTTTTTTTTTTTTTTTGAACCGAATATAATATATTTGAGTTAAATAAACGTTTGTCTCAGTTCTCATATTTGGCGTAAATAAAAATTTTATTTGTCATAAATAAAATTTTTATTTTTATCTCTATTAAATTTTTCTAATAAATAAAATTTTTATTTAAATCAAAAATTGCAATAAATAATTATTTTTTTCTGAGACAAATATCTTTTTTCTTTGAGTAGAAATAATTTTATTTTAATAAAAATTTAATAAAATATATATAGAAAAAAAATATTTTCTTGAAACAGCGATAAATTTCACTGAAACAGGTAAAATTTTCGCTATTCTAAATAAACTTATCGCTGTTTCAGATTTTTTCTGTAAACAAAACTTTTTTCTATAAATAATTAATAATATTAATTATTTTTCTATAATAATAATAATAATTCTATAAATTTTTCTTGAATTTTTTTTTCAGACAGAAAACAATCTTAATTTTTTTTTTTTCAAATAGAAAACAAAAATGTAATTTTCGTGAAAACTGCCTTGAAATGAAATGAAGGATCTTTTAAAAACGCAACGACGAAAAATGACACTTGGTTTCTTTTTTTTTAAACTAAATGGTGCGGAGTACGATGATGATCGACTATAACGACGCTTCATACGTCTTGAGAATAAATGGCGGGGATGTTATATTATTATCGGTAAGAAGAGAACAGCGATGACAAGGACGAGGAAGATCGATAACGTTGGACAGTACAGCGTGCATTGCTCATTATACACACTATCACATTTTGGAGGTTTATGGGCTCCGGGTCCTGGCGAGAGGCAGTTATTTTCCGTGAAATGGATTTTAGGCGATCAAGCGTAACTTTAATCACTAAACGGAAATATGTATGTGTGTGTCTCTATATGTCTAGATGTGACGATGATTATACTGTTGAATCCAGATCGAGGTTTTTTTTCTATCTCTCTCTCAAAAAAAAAAAAAAAAAAAAAAAAAAAAAAATGGAATGGCATTTTTTTTTAGTCCACGTATTTTTCTCCACGATCTTCTTCTTTTTTTTCAATCAAGATCACATCGCCGGAATTCCCATATTCTCGCAGACTCCAAGAGTTTTGTTTTTCAAATAATTATTATTATTATTTTTTTTTTCTCTCTCGCAAACAAGAAACAATGAGATTAAACGTGTCTTTTCATGTGTAGCGCTAAATGATCGCTACGTGAAAAGCAACGATCGCAATGTCTACATTTGAACGGTTTTGCACCTGTGTGCTTGCGATAATGGCGCGTCAACTCATCGGAACGAGCGAATCGCCACTCGCAACCTTCCCAGCTGCATTTGTATGGCTTCTCTCCTGTAACAGACAAAGAAAAGATTTTTTTTTTTTATTTTCCATTTTGAATGTGAGAATTTTTAAAATTAATTTCATTTTTTCACTCGCGCATACTTAAAATTAAATACTAGACGAAAAATCCCTCCCTTGAATTCTGGGTAGCGATTATGTTTTTTGATTTAACTTTGATGTCAAAGTCATTTTTATTTTGACTTCGTAGTCAAATGTCATTTTTCGTAGTTTTACGTAAAATGATTGTTTTGATTTGTCAAATTGTAATATCCACAATTTATTTAGGAATTAAATTATAAAAAAGTAAAGTAAGTAATTTTAAACAGTTAAAAAAGCGGTATAATTAAGGAATTTTTAAAAGATTAACAATCAGGTTAAAATTATTTAATAAAAAATTATTTCATCTGTCAACGGTAAGTATTTTTTACTGTTGAAACCAGGGATATGTTATAATTGTTTTGAATAATGCCTTACTTTCATTTTTATAAATGTAGACAGAATAAAATAAACTAAAATATCAAAAACTAAAGATGAAATTATGTCGTTTAAAAGATAATTCAAAACATAAAAAATTACTTACATTTGACCGATGAAATATTTTTTTCCTAAAATAAGTTTAACTTAAATTAGTTTCCTACTGTTTTGAGCAAATTGACATTTTGCACATAATTTATTGATGTAATTTAAAATAGAAAATGCTCAACATAAATTATTATTAAAAATACTCAATTTTTTGGCATAATGTAATTGCAATTAATTCCTAAACATAAATTCAGTAACGAGACTGTTATTTATATTTGTGTAAATAAAAATTAACGATTAATTTTATTTAAACTGTAATTAATTATATATAAATAGTAATATTTAAATAATTCTTTCAATTTTTCCTCTTAACATATGTGAATGAATAAATAAATAAAATAATATTAATGTTTTAATTATATTTCATAAATTAAGGGGTTAAACCACTCTAGAATTTTCAAAAAATCAAAAAAATTTTTTTTGCTTTAAAAGGTGCCTAAGGGTGTATAGAATAAGAAACAATATCAATTATAAGTCGAAACACTTTTTAAGTGATTGAACTTGGGCCCGATCGTGGTCCTGTACTGCGCGCGTTGGCACTTAGTTGTCTGAATCTGCAATTTTCTGTTCAAAATCAGTTAAAACCAACAAATCTTAACCGATTTTAATGTTTCTCGGTTGAAAATATCCATTAGAAAAGAAGAAGAACAAGAGAATATTAATTTAGAAGGTCAATTATACGGCGCAGGCATTGTAGATTGAAGGTATATCCAAAAAGTCGTAAGTAAAACTTTAAACTCGTTTTTCTCAAAACTACATTTTTTGTGCTGGCCGGAAACATGACTTTTACAAATCTCAACCGATTTACTTAAAAATTAAACTGTAGCTTCTCAATAAAATTATCTAGAGAAAGACGTACGGATTTTTTTTTATGTTGCATATTTTTTTTGTTATAAACAATTTAGTGTCAATATTTTAAGTAAAAAACTCGGTTTTTCCTTAAAATGTTCGCCATTTTTGCAAAAATCAATTGAAAAAAAATCCCCTACGTCTTTCTCTAGCTTTTAAGATGTAAAAATAGAAAGAAATTTGTTTTTTTTTCTAGGATGAAAATTGGAGCTAAAACCTTTCCGGCCGCGACGTGATTCCTCTCAGAAAGGGTTCCTATCACGTACCTGTAAATTTGATATTTTAAAAAAAAATAATTAATGAAGTATATTTTTTTTCTCTTTAAAGTGTACCTAATAAAGATATGTAAACATATTTTTCAGTACATTTAAACTTTTCTTGAAAAAAATTTCTAAAGTTAGGCCTTTTTTTGACGCTCTAGAGTGGTTTAACCCCTTAAAGTTTTTTTAACCTCTTACTTTTACTTAGTTTGTTAAAGTAATAAAAGTTTTTTTAAAAATCCTTGTAATGCTGTCTTGATCTTTTTAAAATTACTTACTTCACTTTTTCATCATTTAATTCCTAAATAAAGTTTTTATTCTTAAATTTTTAATAAGGGGAAAAAGGTTATTATACTTCAAAATTATGGTTATTACAATTTGACAAATCAAAACAATCATTTTACGTAAAATTTTGTAAAATGACATTTGACTACGAAGTCAAAATGAAAATGACTTTGACGTTAAAGGTAAATCAAAATACATAATCGCTACCCTGAACGCTACGCGAGTTTGAACGCTGGTCGAGAACTCACTGTATACACTAAAAGAAAAACAAAATTATTTGATTCGAATACTTGAACTAAAAAATATTATTTCAATTAAATAAATTGTATTTACACCAATAATTTCTGTATTTGAAACAAATATCATCTCAAATAATAATTGATACATATAAACATTTATTTGATAATAGTCAAGTAATCGAGTAATTGAATCAAATAAATTTTTTTTTTTTCACTGTAGGAAAGTTTTGAATGTGAGGAAAAATTCATAGTGATGATAAATTTTATCAAAGTGATACAGTAGCTCAATTGGTTAGAGTCCCTTCATTTTTCTCATTTGGGGTATGTGGTTCGATTCCGAGCAGCTGTGAAATTTTTTAAAACTAGCTAAACGCATATATCTTACAGATAAGTGTCAATTTAATATAATTAATTCACAGACACACAAAAAAAGTGGTTTGGCCGAGACACTACAGTAGTATATTCCCATGTATTTTTCGCCGCTGAATCCGAATCCGAAGTCGGAATAGTCAAATTGGCTCAAAATTTTGAGTTATACTCAAAAAACGACTCAAAAAAACAAAAAAATTTTTTTATGTCACTATACTTGTATATTTCTATGTATTTTTCCCGCTAAATCCGAATTCAAGGCCAGAAATGTCAAATTGGCTCAAAATTTTGAGATAAACTCAAAAAACTGCTCAAAAAATAAGTTAAAATCAAAAAAACGAAATTTTTTTTGGCTAACACACTACACTAGTGTATTTCCATGTATTTTTCGCCGCTGAATCTGAATCCGAAGTCGGAATAGTCAGATTGGCTCTTGTTTTTGAGTTATACTCAAAAACGACTCAAAAAAACAAAAAAATATTTTTATGTCACTATACTAGTATATTTCTATGTATTTTTTCCCGCCGTTTGTTGAGTTTATCTCAAAATTTTGAGCCAATTTGACATTTCTGGCTTCGAATTCGGATTTAGCGGGAAAAAATACATGGAAATATACTAGTATAGTGACGTAAAAAAATTTTTTTTTTGTGTGTGTAATTTATCGCTTCCACATAGAAGAAATATTAATTAATTAATTAATTTACTTATTAGTTTATTTATTAATTATTTTATTAATAAAGTTATTTAATATAAATTGAAGTGTAAAATGTGAAAATTCGGAGGTTTTATTAAATAATAAGTGGGAAGAATATTATTATTAAGGACGAAAGAAAGTTTTAGAGAAGCGTCCAATAATCGTAGAAAGTGAGGAGGGATATCTTCACATGTCGACATTAAGGCAATCTAGAAAGCACATTTCTTGGATGTGCAACGTTGGCGTATTATTAAGCCGTAAATAACCCATTCGAGCAATATGGAAGGCAAGTCGACGTTGATGAGGCCACGCGGTGGAGAAGAGGAGACAATGCAGGGTCACCACCTGTGGCGCGATGTTACTGAGCTTAACAAGCTGAGAGAGTTTGCAGTAGTGTAGCAAGGCATGGGTGATTCACCAGTGATAGAGGTCGTATCGCCCACCGACCTCGCAATAACAAATGTGGTCAGTCTCTCTCTCTATATATATATATATATTGTACACAGAACCCTCTTTTCCAATCCCTCTATTCTCACTCCCCCAGATTTCCAGGAACCAAAACCTTTCGTGCACGAATGTCTGTCTGTCTGTCTCTTTATCTACTTCATAGGAAATTCAACTATAAAAACCCCCATTAAGTTTCTTTTCTTATATTCTAGGAATTCATCAAAAAATTACTACTTGTTACTCAACTGATAATTACAATCATGTTACTGTCAGTTATGACATGCTTGCATCCGAAGACAGATGGAAATAATTCTATGTGGGGTTTATTTTAATATGACATGTCAATTTAGATGGAATTTATTTTTGTATTATTTATTTTTTGTTAAGTATTATTTTAAAAAATTGTTAATACTTTAAAAATAATCTAAAAGTTATTCAAGCTGTTTTTTAATTTAGTAAAAAGGGGGGGTTTTTTTTTGTAGAAAAGGTTGTTTTGATAGTAAAAATAATTTTTTAAATAGAGAGAATAGTTCTAGTCATACAAAATTTACAATTGAAGTAGAAAAAATAGTTTTAGTCAGATAATATCACTGCTAAGTAGAATAGTTCGATTTACTAAGACATAATAACATTTTTTTAAGTAGAAAACGTAGTTTTAGTCAGACAAAAAACAATTTTATGTAGAACGGATAATTTTCACAACAAAAATAATTTTTTAAATCTATTTTTTAAGCAGAGGAAATAGTTTTAGTCAGAAAAATTTTAATTCTAAGTTTGTTGCATTAGGACAGTAACATTTTTTAAGTAGAGAGGGTAGTTTCAGTCAGACGAAAATCAAGTTTAAGTAGTACAGCAAATTTAGATGGCAAAAATTAATTTTTGAAATAGAGAGAATTATTCTAGATAAACAAAATCTACTATTAAAGTAGAAAAAAAGTTTTAGTCTGACAAAATCATTTGTAAGTAGAACAGTTGGTTCTAGTAAGACAATATAACATTTATTAAGTAGAAAGGGTCACAGAAAATTAAAAGGCATTAAAATAAGCTGCAACGCTAATTATTTTAATACAATTTTGCTTATTTTAATCCATTTTGGTATTAAAATAAGCAAAATTGGATTAAAATAATAAGCGTTGCAGCTTATTTTAATGCCTTTTAATTTTCTGTGGTAGTTTTAGTCGGACAAAATCACTTTTAAATAGAACAGTTGGTAAAAAACAATAACATTTTTTTAAATAGAAACGGTAGTTTTGGTAAGACAAAATTTAATTTTAAGTAGAATAG